CCCACACCTCCTCACCCATCCTCTCCACGACGCCCCCGTAGCCCCTCCCACATCCCTCATCCTCGCCCCCATGCCTCCTGGTCCTCCCTCCCACGCCCTCCATTCTCCGCTCTCCGCCTCCTGCGTCTCACCTCCGCTAGCTCTCACTTTCTTGGTCATTGTATAAGCCTGTCTCTGTCTCTCCGTCTCTCCCTGCACCTTCTCTCACGTGTCTGTGACCCGTTTCTACCTACCCAGCCCTGTCTCTCCGTTTCTCGCGGTACCTTCTCCCCGTGAGCCTGTCTCTGTGAAGTCACGTGAAATATCCTCAGGTTTGCAGAGACTGCCGTCTGTCTGTGTCTCGTCTGCTGTCTCTGTCTCATCGCCTCTCTCCCTCCCTGTATCTCTGTCCCTTGTCTCTCCCTCTTTTTCCTTGTACCTCCGCATCTCTCTTACCCCCACTCCCACCCCCTCTAGGACCTCACCTGTCACCAGCACTTCCAGGGCGTCGCTGGGCTGGGACCAGACTCCTGGTCCCCACTCCGGCCTGCGGTAGCAGCAGCGGTAACTGCCCCCCTGGGCAGGCGTCACCTCCTCCAGGAAGAACTCGGCCTGCTCCTGACACCACACGGGACAGTGTCTCCAGGCTTAAGGAGTGCAAATCTCCAGGCGGGTTGAGGTGCCCGGCACCTCAAGGTCACGTTGACCCCCGGAGTCACAACTGCTGCAGGCTGAGCCCCCAGCCACGGCTTGGGGTGGGCGGCTGTCGGAACTGAGTAAGGAGGCGCCTGGGTGGTTGGGTCCCCTGGGGGCCAGCGGGGAGGAAGGGGGAGTGGGGGAGGAGGAAGGGCACCTTAGCGGATGACCCCCCTTCCTCCTCCCCGACATACAGTGCAGGCCGTGAAAGCCAAGGCGGGTCCCAGGAGCCGGACTGCGTCTGAGCTTTGCCCATTGTTTGGTGAAGCTGTTTGGGAGGGCTGGGTCCCAGAACTCTGTGGTTTAAATGGCCTCGCAGGTGATGTGGCTGAACTGCGGAGCTGGAGCTGGCGGTGCTTCCACCTCACACTGGGTGCACACCCAACCCAAGAGGAGCGTGGAGGAGGAGGGGTTGCAGCGTGTCCAGCCACCAAAGCAAATTCCAGATTAGAGACCTGTGTGTGTGTGTGTGTGTGTGTGTGTGTGTACAATAAAAGCATTAGAAGAAACCATAGAAAAGAATATTTGTCTTGGACTCGCAGGTGGTGTGATGTTTAAAGGCACTGGACTCCCACATGGTCCACCGCAGTTCAAGTCCCGGACCTGGTGGCTTGCTTTCTCACTTTCCCTCTCTGTCACTCTGTCCCTCTCTGGTCAGATTAAAATAAATAAAGTTAAATAAAGTAATTTTAAAAAATAGTTACTACTATGTAGGAAGGCAGGTTCGCAGGCGCACCCGAGCACACCTTTGGAGAAGGAACTGTGCCTGTCAAGGTACACAGCACACGGTGGGAAAACGTGGAGGTCTGTGAACCCACACAGGGAGGCTCCAGGCTCGAGTTCAGAGACCGCTTTGGTATGCCTCTCCGTGTTTCTCACTCTTGGAAGAAATAAGTAACCAAACTTACCACAGAGGACATGACCAACAGCCCACCAGTCCCCGACTTTACCCTGGGCAAATGCAAGCGCACACGCACAAACACCTGGGATGCTGGAAACAACCTAAATGCTCACCAAGAGGGGACTGGCCAAGCGAACTCGAATGCAGCCGTCCAATGGCAGATGGTAGTCAACAGTTAAGAAAGAGGAAGAACTAGCCCTAGTGACATGGAAATGTCTCCAGAGAGGCCGTGAAGGATGTAAGATGACAAATACAAGATGCAGAACAGTGAGTCATAAAATGCCAATTTTGCTTTGGCAAGAAAAAAGTATATATTCATGCCCGTGTGAGTACATGGAAATCGTCGGTAAAGATTCAGAAGAGTATTTAAGGAAGATGGTGAGGGGAGAGAGAGGCTACTATATAGATTCAGAAGAGTATTTAAGGAAGATGGTGAAGGGGAGAGAGAGGCTATCATATGAGGGACTTCAAAACATTTGTGGAGACGTGGAATCAAAGTATGGCTTCTTTGGTGCAAAAAATGTTGAAGTCCGTGCATAGTTTTTTCCCATCATGTATGTTTTCCATGAACTTTTGGAAGACCCTCCTTATATACTCTTTGCTAATGATTGACTGTTTAAAAACATGAACATAGCCAGCCAGAGGGCATGGTGGTTAAGACAGCTGGATCCCACGTTACCAACTGAGTGGTTCGAGTCCTCAATCTAGCAGCTTGAAAAACACACCAGGCAGGGCCAGCAGTTGGCACAATGGCTATGTCACTGGACTCCCACGTAGTTGACCGTGGTTCAAATTCCGGACCTGGTGGCTTAAACTCACTCTGGGAACGTGTGCATGTGCATGCGTGTGCCCAGGATCCCGAGAGGAGAATGGAGGAGAAGGGATTGCCCTGTGGCCATCCCCCTGGGGGGTGATTTCTCACTTTCTGGCGAGCACACGCGCCCTATAGCAAAAATTTCTCAAAAAAAAAAAAAAAAAAAAGAAAGAAAAGAAAAGCACACTGAGTGTATGTGTATGGGAGCCCACAATTCCAAGAAAAGGGATTGCAGTGTGGCCATTTCCCCTGGGGGATAATTTCTATTTCCCTATCTCTGTCACTCTCTCTCTCTCTGGATGACACTGTAGCAAAACCCTAAAAAAAGAAGGAAAAGAGAGAGAGAGAGAGATCTGTCTCTGGAACCCTGCACTGTGCCAAAGGTTTTTATTTGTGTGATTTCATCAAATCTTCGCAGCAGCCCGTTTCCCAGAGCAGGCCATGGCGTCTTGGTGAGCTGTGATCTGTTCAAGGTCATTTAACAAATCGGGGAAACCGGGACTCTCGTTTAGGCCTTTAGCGAAGTCCACGGTCTTCGCGGTCCACCTACAGTGGGCACTAAAGGGGGCGAGTGAGGAAGAAGGAAGGAGGGCGAGAGAGAAAATACAGGGTAGGGTCGGACACCGGATAAAATCAGAGTAATTGAAAATGAGTGTCAGGGTCAGCAGGTGTCACAGTGGTTAAGGCACTGGACTCCCATGTGGTCAACTGTGGTTCGAATCCTGGACCTGGTGGCTTGAAACTCCTACTGGGAATGTGTGCATGCATGCCCCAAACCCCGAGAAGAGAATGGGGAAGGCATTGTGAAGTGGCCATCCCCCCGGAGGGCAGTATCTCACTTTCTGTCTCTGTCTTTCTAGTGGGCACACACGCGCTGTAGCCAAAATCTCGCAAAATAATAATAGTAGCAGTGAAATAAAGAACATGTGTGTCAGCAACAGGAAGGAGAAGGCTGAAGGATGCTACTCACCAGACGGAGTCAGGGCTTCGAGACGCGGAGGCCCTGCAGAGGTCAAGGGGCACGACCTTTTCCAGCCTTCTGCCGCTCCCTGTCCTACCTCACTGGAAACTCATAATCGAGTTTTCAGTCCCTCTTTCTTTGAGAAATAAGAATCCTACCCCTATTTCTTCTCTCAGCAGCCAGAGTCCAGACCCCCATTCTCCACCCACTTAAGACAGCGTCTGCACCTAGCCCTGCACCCAAGGGAACCAGGCCCTGGAGCTCCACCTTGCCAAGGAACACTGCTCCCTGAGGTTCAGGCACGCCTGCCCCAGGAGCCAGGAGCCCTGCCCTTCTCAGAGCGTCAGGAGTCCTGGCTTCCCCCTCCCACCCCGTCAGAACCTGGGAGTCTACATTCCGGGTCCCCAGGAGTTCAGGCCCCGACCCCCTCCTGCCTCAAGGTCCAGAGTGTCCTGCCACAACCATCTCGCCTCCCAGGGATCTGTTTCCGCTTGCTCTTGCACTCAAGGGTCTGGACCCCAGGCCTACCCCTTATTCTGAACCCTCAGTTATGCTGCTCAGTCACCCCATGGGGTATCTGGGTCCCGAGACTCACTCTGTCCCCCACCCAGCCAGGACCCAGGGAGAAGGGGGGCTCACAGGAGATCAGCAGCTGGAGCACCAGCAGCCGGAGGGTCAGTGGCCGGAGGGTCAGCGGCTGGAGCGCCAGCACCAGGGCCATGGTGGGCAGATGTGCCCTGGACCGAGGGCAGGGGCTTGGCCACACTCTCCCCTCCCAGGAAATGAGGCAGAGCCCTGTTTAGGGAAGAGAGGAGTGAGGCGGGGGCCCTGGGTGACTGTGTCACAGTCCCATGGTGCTGTGGAAAAAGCTGGAAAATGGGGCGGTCATAATCAGTTGTGTTCACAAATTCAACCAGAAAGAAAGAAAGAAAGAAAGAAAGAAAGAAAGAAAGAGAGAGAGAAAGAAAGAAAAGAAAGAAAAAGAAAGAAAGAAAGAAAGAGAGAGAAAGAAAGAAAAGAAAGAAAGAAAGAAAGAAAGAAAGAAGAAAGAAAGAAAGAAAGAAAGAAAGAAAGAAAGAAAGAAAGAAAG